AAAAGCAATAAAGTGCCACATGAAGAACAAAATCCATTTCCATTACCACTAGAAGATCCCAATATCAAGATATTTATATCAAAACCTAAAATTCATGCAGACCAAATAAGAATTATTGGTTAGTTTTCCTCCAAAACAAGCATGATTTTCAACTTCAATATTTTCTGTATCTCGATTTTAATTACATTTCCATAAAATTTTAACCTACAAAGATGCAGATTCAATGCAAATTAGTGAGTTTTGATGACAATTTTTTCAATATAAATACCTACAACCTGAGGTGCAGAATAGCACACAGAACAAATATATACAAAATCCACTAAAATGTACTCTGATTATATGCATTGGCTAGTTATCCTGTTAACAGTGAGTCTCTTCATATCTTCCAGATCGACAAGAACAAACGGGATCGGACTTCTACAGACTTACAGAGTCTACGTGATTAATAACTTCAGCTACGACACGAATGAACTGATGATCCACTGCAAATCTGGAGACGACGATCTCGGGTACCATTTTCTAAGTCAGTACGGCAGCTGGCACTGGAAATTCCGGGTCGATTTGTTTGGGTCGACTCTATTCTTTTGCCGTGTACAATGGGGGGAACTTGAAACGAGTTTCACTGTTTTCGATACTGACTACATAAGCAGCAAATGTGAGGGCACCTCGACATGCTTCTGGTCGTTGAGGGAGGACGGCATTTACTTCAGTTGTGATGACCTGAATTACGTGCAGAGATACATCTGGCCTTGACGAGAGTTGTTTTATACACGCGTTTCGATTTAGTTGATTGAGTTATTATTAGTTCATCTATTATTGCCAGGAATGAAAGTTCATAATATGAACAATTCATTCGATTTATGGCATCATTCAACTGTAAGTTAACATGAATTTTTTTTTTTCTTTTTCTTAAACACTTGAAGCATTTTAACATTACCTTTTATAATATCTTTCAAGTCTCAAGATTCACATCCATGGACAGTAATTAACTCGTATTTGCACTTTTGCCACATTTTCAAAACATACAGATCCTCGGTATTAATTCTCAATAATCACAGTAATTGTGAATGTCCACCATTGGCACGAGTTATCTAAAGATTGTAAACACAAGAGTCATATTTAGTAATGAAATTCATCTCATCATGCGTGACGACTCACCGTTGTTGTTCTTTAAAACAAGTTAAGCTACCATCGAGAAAAATATTCAGAAAAACAAATAAAAAAGAAAAAGAGTAAAGAAAGAAAGGAGGCAAAGAGAAAAATCATGGATGCCCGTGTTTCGACCGGAGTCATGTTTATAATGTTGGTGAGCTTGAGCATGTCATTGCAACAAGCCCATGGAGTTGTTACCAAAACCCTGATAAGGCCAGGACAAAAAACTTTCTACGGCTATCTGAAGAAAATCAGGATGCGAATTTACAACAACCTCGGCAACAACAACACCCTCAGCATTCACTGCAAATCCAAAGACGATGATCTCGGAGAACATGAGGTCAACGATGGGGATTCGTACGCATGGAAATTCCGAAATAACTTCTGGGGGAGAACATTGTTTTTCTGTGGTATGGAGTGGGCCAAGAATAGTGGTGTGTTTGATATTTACGTGGAGAATCGAGACTCGGATAGATGCAGAGACTGCATTTGGAGAGTGACGGAAGATGGAGTCAGAGGCTACAACAAAGAAGGCGGAGCCGAACAGATTTGGTTCAGGTGGCTCCCCAAGCCTCCTGCTCAAGATCCACACTAAAACATCTCTGTTGTTTTGTTAGTTATTTGGTGCAGTCGATACACCATTTCAATTAATAATATCCATCCTCTTTATATTTCTTATATAAAAAATCATGGTCATTGTCATTGTCAGTTGCTTTATAGACATAGAAATGGGGTGAGTTATTTATTTTTTTTTAAAAAAATTAAGTAGACAAAAAAAAAAAAAGTGTTGACCAAAATAAAACAACCGTATTATCGGAATATGTTTTTCTAAAAAAAATTAACTAGAAAAACGTATTTCGGGAATACGTGTTTCTAAATTATTTATTAAATTAAAAAAATTCAAAATTCGATTAATATTCGATCGAATATAAAAAAAAATAAATATAAAAATAAACGTATTTTCGAAATCCGTTTTCCGTAAAACGGATTTCAGGAATATGTTTTGTAAAAGTGTTTAAAAAAAATATATAATTAAATTAAAACGTATTCTGAGAATACCGTTTACCGACAATTTAATTAAAAAAAATACTTAAATGAAATGTCGGTGGACGTATTCTCATAAGATGTTTTTAATATTAAATATAAAAAAAAAAATCTTTTCCTTTCCATTTAATTTACGCGAATCACAGAGAGCTGAAAGAAAGCAGAAAAAGAGCAAGAAGAAGCGAAAAAAATCAGAAAAAAAAACCTCGATCCAATCTTTACCTCGGTGTGAATCGACAACACCGATACGAGCCTCATTTCCGGTTAATTCATTCAGGTATATTGGCTTATCTTAACATTTTACATTATTTGGAGTTGTTTGGAGATTGATGATTGTTATAATATTTTTGAATGTGGTTGTGTTTGAAGATTGAAAATTGTTAATTGATTATCAATTATGTGTGTATGTTGAATTGAGGATTAAAATTTTGTGTGTAAATTGTCAATTGTGTATTGTTTGATTGTTGTTGGGATTAGGGTTGTTCGAAATTAGGGTTATAATTAGGGCTTTCAATTTATTCGTATTATAGATGAATTTTATGTTATTACGATTATGAGTATTAGGTTTTGGATGATTATTTGATTGAGACTTTTTTTTGTTGGAGCAAAAAATTGAGTTTTAAATTCTAGACATTATGTGTTGTTGTAATTGTAAAGAATTGAAATTGTTTTTTTTGCAACATATATAAAATGGCCTATCTCGGTCCATACCTTGTTAATTTGTACTGGCATTTTGGGAAGGAAATGTTAAGCGATTTTGTTTCATTTAAAGATCGTCCGAGTGGTTCATTTATAATTCCGGGGAGGATATCATATGAACAGTTGGTACATATGATTAATGCAAAATGTCAGTTTGAAGAAGGTTGGACAATTGAGGAGATTACTATGATGATTAACCAACCTGATGGTTCGTGGAATCCCGCAATACTCAATAACGATAGTTTTGAATGAATTTATTACTTTCCTAGTATGTCCATAGTGTATTTGCATTTATCGTTGCAGGCAAATACACCCGTTACACAGTTTGATGATGTTACTCCTTGTTACGGGGAAGTGTTTGATGTCGAGGGTACATCGACTTCTCATGTACCTAATTTTGGAGAAGGGACATCGAGAGAATGGGCGGCGGATGAGGATGATAAAGATTTTATTCCCGGCGAAGATGATTTCACAGACGAGACCTCAGAAACCGAATTAGATAGATCGCTTAATGAGGAGAGTGAACCCAAGTTCATCGAAGAATAACTCCCATTTCCTATTGGTGGTCGGCACATATATCGTGAGATGGGTGAATGGGACCCATCCAGGATAGATACGAACGACTATGCTATTCCACGGTAGAATGGCGACATTGAGACCATACGTTTGGGTACAGTTTTACGGAGCAAGGAAGAAGCCCAAACGGGTCTAATGGCTTGGAACGTCGATAGATTGCGGGAGGTTCAGACAAAAGATTCAACTCAGAAGTCATTCAAAGTGGTCTGCAAATCGAATGCAGATGTGCCTTGTCTGTGGAAGGCTCGGGTGAATAAGGCCAGACGGCGTGATGATTTGTGGGAAGTAACTGAATGGATTGACCAACACACTTGCATGCAACAGGTCGACAGAAATGACCACAGAAACGTGACCGTCCATATGATTGCGAATCTTATAATTAATAAGATTCAGAAGAAAGTGGAGTACAACGTTAACATGGTCCAGGCTGATGTGAAGCAGTGTTGGAAAGTCGACGTCAGTTACAAGAAGGCATAGCACGGCAGGAAAAAAAGCAATCGAGTGTGTGTACGGCAGTTGGGAGTCGAACTTTGCAGAACTCCCTCAGTAGCAAAAATTAATTACAAATATACCTGTTTTTTGTCTGTCACTATGTTTATTTATTTATGAAATTGTTTTGTATTGTACAGATATTTTGCCGAGCTTCAAAGAGTGAATCCCAACACAACTGTAGATTGAGAATTTCAGGGTGGTGATGTGACGCGACATGTTCCAAATGGAGAATTCAAATTCGTGTTCTGGGCGTTTGGTCCCGCGATTAAAACCTTCAAAATGTGCCCGCCGGTTATTAGCGTCGATGGCACACATTTACGTGGACATTACAAAGGAAAATTGCTCGTGGTCGTAGCACAGACTGTGAATAAGTGGCTATTGCCAATCGCGTATGCGCTTGTCGACGAAGAAAGCACGGACAGTTGGTCATTTTTCCATAGGAATCTATGGCGATATATTGTATTCGACAAACATATATGCGTTCTTTCTGACAGGGATGTGGACCTACGCAGTGCGATTGAATCATTACCGGATTGGCAAGAACCCGCTGCGTATCACCGGATTTGCCTTCGACACCTTCGAAGCAACGTGGTGACTCGGTTCAGGAGTAAGAAAATCCGGGATTGATGTTGGGAGTTGGGTTCGCAGTTGTCGAAGTAAAAGTTTCGACAGACAAAACAGTGACTTAAAGAATTTAATCCCGACGCATACAATTATCTCTTCAAAATTCCTTTGAACCAGTGGACCCTGTATCGAGATGAAAAACGTAGATGGGGCACCTTGACAACGAATATGTCAGAGAGTTACAAGAATGTCCTGAAAGGGGTTAGGTTCCTACCATGCAGAGCTTTGGTAGAGGCCACATTTCAAAAAACTCTGGATTGTTTCGACAAGAACAAAACAATTCCAGCAGATGCAGGAGTCCCATTGCTAGGGAGCACTATGTCGCATTTTTGCAGTTGGAGCAAACAGCTGCAACTCATGAGGTGGAATGTACGGACCACGACAGATCCATGTACGCGGTGACAACCAGTCTACGTGCTACTGGAAGAGGGCAAAACAAGTAAGCATATGTTTTTTTTTTTGTTCATTCATTTTTTATTTTATTTTGTATATATATAAATCAATGTGGAAATACAGGTATAAGGTTGATTACCCCGCAAAACGTTGTACTGGTCGGAAGTGGCAAACGCATAGAAAATTGTGTTCTCATGCAATAGCCGTCTGTCGTAGAATTACGGGTGACCCAAAGCTGCTGTACGATGATCACTTCTGGACGTCGACCTGGTAGCTCAATTTACTAATTGGAGTTCTACTCTGATTGGTTATCCGGATACATGGCCTCCGGTGGAATGGAATTTGATTCCACACTGGGAGAGGATCATCTTGAAGCCTGGACCCGGTCGCAAGCAAACGAGATGATACCGCAAGCAAATGGATCGTCGGGCACGACGCAGAAATGAGAGAGGACATTATACTAGATGCGGTGATCCAGAGCATGTTGTGGATTAGTTTTCGTCCTCACATTCTCGCAGTGATAGGTCTAGACTTCGTGATGTGTGGGAAGATTAGATTTTTTATTGTTTATTTAGATTTATTTGGATTGTTTATTTGGATTTGGTTGTTTATTCATTTGGATTTGTTTGGATTGTTCATTTGGATTTGGTTTAGTTGGTTATTTGGAATATGCATAGAAAAGTGTGAGCCGGTCGTGTGAGTTTGGGAGTTTTTTTTTTTATATTTAACATAAAACGAATTCTGGGAATCCGTTTTTTAAATAAAAAAAATAGTAGAGGCTCCCAGATTGGGGACTCGAACCCGAGTCAATGGGAGAGTCTGGTTTCTCTGGGCGCACCTCGTACCATTGTGCCGGCAGACACTTTATGATTATTTATGTACAAATTATATACATATTCACACTAGTATTTATAATAATATGATTTAATATATATTATATGATATAATATATAATATAATATACTATATATTAGAATATATTATACTATACTATATAATATACTATACTATTTATAGACAATTGATGTCGAATTACTACAATTGAAGTCAATTTCGTACAATTGAAGTGAAATTAGTACAATTGAAGTCAAATTAGTACATTTGAATTCAAACTAATACAATTGAAGTGAAATTAGTACAATTGAAGTCAAATTAGTGCAATTGAAGTCAAATTAGTACAATTGAAGTCAAACTAATACAATTGAAGTCGATTTAGTACAATTGAAGTCGATTTAGTACAATTGAAGTTGATTTAGTACAATTGAAGTCAAATTAGTACAACTGAAGTCAAATTAATACAATTAAAGTCGATTTTAGTACAATTGAAGTCGATTTAGTACAATTGAAGTCAAATTATTACAATTGAAGTCGATTTAGTACAATTGAAGTCAAATTAATACAATTGAAGTCGATTTAGTACAATTGAAGTCAAATTAGTACAACTGAAGTCAAATTAATACAATTGAAGTCGATTTTAGTACAATTGAAGTCGAATTAGTACAATTGAAGTCAAATTAATGCAATTGAAGTCAACTTCGTACAATTGAAGTCAACTTCGTACAATTGAAGTCGAATTAGTACAATTGAAGTCGAATTAAAGTCGAATTAGTACAATTGAAGTCAAAACTAATACAATTGAAGTCGATTTAGTACAATTGAAGTCGATTTAGTACAATCGAAGTCAAATTAGTACAATTGAAGTCAAATTAATACAATTGAAGTCGATTTAGTACAATTGAAGTCGTTTTAGTACAATTGAAGTCAAATTAGTACAATTGAAGAATTTTTTTTTTTGCCAACAAACATCAAATATAATATATAAACTCAAGAACGGGTTACAATTAAATCTCAAGAGCATCAAGAGTCTTTGCTCCAGAGATCACAGAGGACACCACACCAAGCACCCCTAAAAGACCAACAAGGTCATCTAAACAAACTAACAAAAGAAAAAAACAGCAACAATACAGAAAATAGGGGAAACCAAAAACAGGAAATAATAAAACTGCTAAGACTCAAAAGACCATGAATCAAAAGTGTCCAACAACAAGAAGATATCATCAGCAATCACTGCCACCTCTGTATCAAATGGAGTCCTGTTCACTATCTGCCTTCTGAGCTTCTTATCTGTCACTCTGAGATGAACTTCATGCCATCCTGCCCTGCTTCCTGAGATTAGCCAGTCCCTAAGCTGATCAAGACCCCACTCTTCTGCTCCTTTTTTCTTCTTCTCTGTTATTGACCACTCTTGCACCATCATATTATTCTGAACAGCCCTGCCTGAGATCTTGTACCCATCATCTGTTAATCCATTAGCACTGGAAGCAGAGTCCTGCCCCCCTACTCCTTGCAAATCAACAGATGCTTGGAATACTCCTGTGCCAGCAGAGATAGAGGCAAATTCACTTCATTCTTGATGAGCCATCATAACTAATTGTCTCTCAGAGCATTGTTCTTTTCGAAATACCCATCCATTTCGAGTCTTCCACAGCCATCATAACAAATATGTTGACAATGAGACTCTTTCCTTTTCCTTCCCATCAACCATTAATTTGCACATTTCCTCCCACCAGTCATTGAACCCAGCACTCTCCTGTTGAAGGCAATCCCATTCCAATCCTGCAAGTTTCCACACAATTTTAGCTCTCTTACAATAAAACATCAAATGCTCCAAGGTCTCATCCTCTTCTCCACATCCACTGCATCTCTTATCTATCTCCATGCCCCTCTGCCTCTGATTCACATTTGTGCCCAAACAATTATGTATGCATCTCCACAGAAAATTTTTCAGCTTATTTTTAATGGGCAGTTTCCATGTTGTTTTCCACATAGCCTTAATCCTGTCACCCCCTGAACTGTTTTCCTCCTGTCCTCCCTCTATCCATTTTTGCTGCTGAATGAGATGGT